TGATTACCAGTTTAAAAGGGAACTCTGCCACACAAATCAACGTTCATCCCTTTTCTCGCAGAGGGTCATTCGCCAATGGAACTCGTTGACGGAGTATTTTGTTAATTCCCCTACCGTGAACAAGTTCAAGAGACAACTGGATACTCACCTGCTGAAAGAAAACCCGAACTGCTAATGCCTGATCTAACTGATTGCTGAAATGACTATAAATATACCACTAACAGGATTTCAACAGATCTTTTTTGTGCGTCAAACTTAACCCGTGTGGAAATTTTCACAGTGTGAATGCGGTGAACAAAGCTTTTCGCAATTATTTCGCGAATGCCATACCCCTTTCGCATTTATGTTATTTTATTATATTTTTGAGTTCTCCTTACTAAAACTGTAAGCAGAAGTTTTGCAATTTAACTATTTTCCCTTACATCTGTACCCTCTAAATGGAGTTTTCATGGCTTCTGTCGTTTACTCCAAATAGACCGACTGCAGACTGAATGACCTGAGTCCGGTTTCAAGAAGACCGGATATGAAGGTGGCGCAGGTGACTGGCACTACCGGACCCGCACCTAGGTGCACCGCCACACTCCCTGGTCCACAACAGACACATGACCAGGAAATTAACCAACGGCAACGGTGGGTGGGCGGCAGGAATCCCAGTTATCTACTTTGATCTTAGCAAAGCCCTTCACAAGTCGCCCCAAAGACGACTTTTAGTAAAATTGGAAGCTCTTTGCATCCGACCGCCTATACTCGACTTCTTTAGGTCCTATCTGTCCAACCGACATCAGAAAGTCATGGTCGCTAACAGCTACTCGACGCCTCACTCGATCACGAGTGGCGTACTTCAAGGCACGGTTCAGGGTTCACTACACTTTCTTCTTCACGTCAATGATTTTTCGACTGATCTCGGCTATTCGCCAACTTTTATTTATGCCGATGACCTCAAGTGTGTTGACTCATATTCTAAGGACACCGCCAACGTTTGTGTTGCAAAAATTAATGCCGATTTACTACTCTTAAGCCGGTGGAGTTCAACAAGGCAGATGGAGTTTTCATCATCCAAGTGTAGTTTCATGTCTTTTGGTCCTGCCAAACTCCCTGGTCCCATAATTTTTTCAGAATAATCTGTTCTCAGAATGCTTCACCGCAGGATAAAATTCCAGTGAAAGTAAACGATGAAAATCCTCATTGGCGCTGAGAGGGCGATGGACATAGCCAACGACTAAGGAGAAATTATTTTTAGTGCAACCTGGAGCCAGCAGCTGCCTTCTACCGCCGAAGAATGCGGGAGGTTCGGCGGCAGAAACGTAAGTGTTTGCTTAACGTAGGTGCAACTGCTTCCACCACGTCTCTCTTGGCGATCAATTCGAATGCAAGCATGGCCTTGAAAAGACGTTAAACCAACAGATGCAGCCGCACTAAGGTTCTACGGACTACCCAGAGTGCACAAGGTGGATGCCCCCCTCGGACCAATGGTGTCACTTCGCGGCGTGCCAACATTCAATCTGGCTTAATGGCTGTTCCGACACCTGAGGCCTCTCAATTCAGGCGCAACCGCAACGGTCTGTTCGGCTGCTCGACGGAGACTGTGTGCACTGCATTGCCGCCATCGACTGCCCGCGTCCAGCGATCTTAATAACAAAGGTTTGTCACGCATGATCTTCCTTTACGAAATCCGTACTGGGCATCTCATAGCAGATTATGCTCTTCTAGGAAATGCGTTATTTCCCACTTAGTTATTTTTTCCATAACGAGAATAGCCTGCGCACTGCAAACGCCCAAGGGGTTTATTTGTGCAGGTCTAGCTGTATTTAAATTTATTGTCTGTGCTCTTCTTAGTGCAGCTGAACTCGATCACATTGTTGTTTGAATGCACTAAAACCTCCAGGACAAACAGCTTAATCTTGCGCTGCCGCGTTTTGTGGTTTGTTTGGTGTTTGGAGTTGGTGACTTGATCGTGAATCGCCCTTCCGCGCCTGAGTCTTTTTATTTGAGTCATTAAAAATAAACTTCTCGGATGTAGGAAGCGATATTTTGATGTATCAATTCAAAAAACACTAAGAGGTAAGTGTTTCTTTACAAATTTGTAATAAGCGACTTTTAACTTCTCCTTTATAATTATAAAGAAAAATGATGTATCATTTAACATAGGATTTTATTCCTGGCCTAAATTAGGGCTGTCGATAGTATTTATGTGCGAAATAAAAGTGCGTTTTCAGACATAAGTTCAAGAGTTTAAGCAGATCGTAATATTGTAAGAGTTTTTCTCTGCACTGCCTTGCTAAATCGAGTGGTATGGGCGTGAATAGAGAGACAACATCGAACGGCACCACTATCTTATCCTTACCAATAGTGAGTCCTCTTATTTAGTTTAGAAATCCAATAAAATTCTCGAATGAAATCGAACAATGCTTTGTGAATGGAAAAGGTTTACGAATAGCCATTTAAAATTCTTACAATTCGGTGCACTGAGTTGCGATACTAGTAAACGCAATAATACGTCAGGTTTGTGAACTTTCGGTAGTCCATAGATTTAAGCGATTTTGGTTCAGTTACTGTTAGGGATTTCGCAATTTCTCCTGGTAGTTGTTTCTTTCCTGCAAGACGTTTCAGCACTTTATCCATGGATGAAATCTGCACTTTGGTGGGGTCAACGGTGAGAAGCATATAAGTTGATCTATCTCCTAACAATGATAGCATCTTGTTATTGTATTCGGTTTTGTTTAAAGTAGCAGTTGAGCCTCCGTTGTCTGCGGGTATTGATGTCATTAAGCCGGCATTCTTACTCTCCTGCCCATAGAATTGACTTTCTATGCATCGAAAACCCAGAGGACTCGCTTTCATCTCCTAAAATGGCCAAACACACCTCTATATAGATGTATCTGTTGTTTCGATGATATGTTTTTCGTCTTTTTTCGCTAATCTGTCCGGTGTTACGATAAGTGGGAGAAACCGTAGACATTTCAATGTTTCCGGGGAACCCGCACATGACGGAACATTGGTTCAATAGCAGTCATAATGTCAATTTTCCCCTATCTGAATCTCAGATGTACCCAACTAGTAAATAAATGAAATCAGGTCCCGAGTGTAGTTAATCATTTAGGGACTTTGAGGCTAATGATGGGGAGGATAAAAGGTGTAGTCTGCATCTTCGATTAGAGTCTCCTGGACATATTCAGGATGGACGTAGTCGCCCATAGTTCGCATATAATGTTGCAATGAGTCTTCATATCTCAGAATGCGTTTACTGCGCTGGTGAGAACGTTGTAGAGCAAATAATATATTGCTCGGTAAGACGGAAGAATGAGCTTTTTAAGACAAGGCTTGCATATGGTGGCCATTCCGAGGACGAAGGTTTTAGCCCATAGTCTACAATACAGCACAAGTACTTGCAAGTGTAACTTTATGTTCGGCTATTCGGTCGCCGGTGGACAATTTTTTCCATTTTTCCAAATCGTGGGTAGGACTGACTTTTTGGTAAAAGTTGTCCCTAGATGCACATTTGGTTTGCGGATCTTTAGCCGAATGTAAAATCAGCCCGAGTATTGTCCGTTGGTTTTATTTGCAACCAGCAAGACGATGAAGGTGACAGGGCAGACATGCTAACGACCTGTATGCCGAACAGGAGCACAAGCACATCTACCAGCAGGAAACCAGTTGTCAGAGAACTGCCAACGCACACAAGGTTGCGAGAGCCATGGTTTGCTGATGACGGCACGGCAGATGTTTACATACCTTGAAACTTACAAGAGTGACACACAGCCTTGCATTTAGCCTAGAACATCACGCTTCAAATATTGAATATCCAGTAAATCGTCCACTGAGCGGCATTACCTAGAGAGCACATGCACACTTATCACATTCGGGAGTGTCGTCGACCACTTAACATGGAGCCGTGACGGCCTGACTCTCAGCCCACCAGTCACCCACTGCGCACAAAGGCACACAATTGGGTAGACTGCGTAGATTGATTTGGGAAGACAGTAGGCAACCCTTTAAGCCACACCGTTCGACGCATCGGGATAGTCTAGGACACTAATCACAGGTGCAGCAGAGGAGCAGCATGTAGAGGGGGCCGAGAAGCACACCTCCCACTTCGTGGGAAATGTCAATTGGCCTCTTGCGGTGGATAATGTTGTTGTATGGTGCGGGTTTTGGGGGGAGATGTGATGGTGTGGTATAGTCGGCGGTTGTCCATCGGCTTTCGGGAATGCGAATGTGACCTAGTAGGCACATGCGGTATGTGAATGTGCGAGGGCCGTTGAGGTGAGTCCGCATGGTGAATTTTGGTGCTATAGGCAAGGGTTCACCGATGTCTGTGTGTTGGATTTACAAGTGACTGATTGGGACGATGTGTGAGGTGAAGGTGCGTTCTCAATGAGGACATTTGTGGACTGAGTCTACATAACGGGTGTTGACGGTGGTAAGGATGATGCTTGTCGGTGTTTCTGGATTGTGTGCAGCGTTGGTGATTACATGAGCCGGCACCACGGATATTTAGGCAGTGAAGAATGGCCATGAAAGATCAGGAGCGCGGTTCGTGTCTTAGGTCCCCTCCTACCACCTCAGCTTTAGTATCCGTTGAGGTGGAAGTGGTTGAGCCTTCGCGCCCGCTATTTATGCACCGTCCGTGTCTCTGCTTTATTCGACTGTGTTGGCAGGATGACTGGTTTGCACACCTTTGGTTTCGTGCCAAGGTGAAGGTCTTGACGATTCGAGACAGTGTTTTAAAGACGGTCGAATTCTTGACTGGCCTTAGAAATCCGGCGAGCAATTTCATTTTTGATTTTGGTGTTTCGAGAAGGGGTGCTGCCTAGAAAAGTGAGGTTGTCCATGGCTTGCGGAGGGGCGCCCTTCAGGCTGATTGTGGGTGCATTGTAGTCTACGATGGATGAGGGTGGGTGTATACCACCGTTGTTTCCGTGTTGATAACCAGGCCGAAATTTTCGCGGGGGGCGACGAACAGCTTCATGCTCCTTTCATGTCCACTGCTGAGGTGGCGTTTAGCGCGCAGTCGTCGACGAAGAGCAGTTCTTTGACGGAAATAGTGGATGCACGCAAATGAAAATGCATCGGGCGCTGACTGAGGAGTTTGTGCACCGTCCTGTAGACGACGCGGATTCATCGACGTCCATTATCATTTTAGAGAGACTAGGCGTGGGGAGGCGACCCTGCTTCACTCCATTGGTCACTGCGAATGCCTCTGAGACGGCTCCATTGTCTGTGACACGCGTCGGCATGCGATCATGGTGCTGACGCAATATCGAATTAAATCGCTCTGGACGGCCGAATCTCTGCATGCTTTTCCGAAGTCCTTCGCGATTCACCGTGTCAAAGACCTTCGTCCGATACACGAGGGTAGAGTAGACGTGAATCCGCATCTCCGGACACTTCTTCCCTAGCTGACGAGCGGCGAAGATGATATCGGTGGTGCTGCGATGACGGCGGTACCATCGCTTCTTAACGGAGACGTTCTCGTTGTCCTCAGCGACAGCGGCGGCGGGTACTGGAAGGTTGGTTGGCCTTTGAGTTAGTTCATTCCTGAAATGGACATGGTGAGCAGGCAAAGACAACAAAGCAATATTCAGCTTACCTGGGAGTCGTTTACCTTGGGGTCTCCTGAGTGGCTGTAGGCACCTCATCATCCTTAAGATGATGATACGATAGTCAAATCATCCGTCGGTACCCGAGATCATCTTCGTCATCAGTACGTCTTGCTGGTCTCGCCTACGTATTCAGACATAATCCATCAGGGGCCAGTGTCACGACCGAAGGTGCAGCTAGGTGGCCTTATCTCGCATTTGAAGATGCAAGAAGGTGTTTAACCTTTGATCTCCATATTTGTTACAAGGGAGCGAAGTATATCAAAAATTTGAAAATGGAAACATCAAACATCTACAGAGTTTCTTCAGATTGGCAATGTTTTCGAAGGCAGACCGATAAACTAATTGCTCCAAGAGCTAAACTTATTAACGTTAATAAATGTGCTGTCTAAGCGCAATTGGTGCTATCTCAGTTTCTGAGTGAGACGAATTAAATTCCAACACACATTCAACAGACATGGGATAATAATAAAAAACGTTAGTGAAATACAGGCAGTAATATAACAACATTAATTAACTGTTCGAACAAAATTCTAGACGTTTGCGGTCATGTAGCATTATGACGTTCGGTGGTACACTATTCCAACATGCGCTTAAAAGCCTCGACGGAGGTGGACATGACGACATCTGCTGGCAGAGCACATTCTTAATGCACGGAAGTGATTGCCTTTTGACTGTTTTCACGCTTTTTTTAAGTTTGAGTAGGACTTGGGTAACTAAAGTCGAAAATACACAAATACATTTGTTTATCTTTCGCAATGAATTGATTTATTTCCGAATTATGCTTCTTGGGATGTCTGTTTTCAAACATAAAACATGCTTCGAAAGATATAAGCTTTTTGGGAAAGATAAAGTTTTATTTTAAATTTTCGATCTTGGTTCCCCAAGTCGTCTTCAGACGTGAAGTAAATGTACAAAACAGTTAACATTTAAACATTCCGAAAAAATCGATTTCGCCCTGTCACACCTGCTGGTGTGACAACCGGGTGATTTAACATATTTAAACTCCAGACCAAAAAGGTCCTAAGGTTTCGATCTGCTCATGGAAACAGTCTGCACTCTGAGCGCATGTTCGTACCTGTCGAAGCGATTACTTTAGGAAGAAAGTCAACATCGCACTTTAGGTTCGAACGTTGCCATCAACATTTTTTGACTTCGACCCTCGTTGCAGGTGATGTCTACTGTGTGATTGACAGCGAGGTGAAGCAGCGTCAGTGACTTGTGCGTAGTGGTAAACTTGCACAGTATCTACCGTACCCTCTCCTACGCCACATTGACCCGGTGTCAAGCTAAAGTAAGAAAGACCGGAGGCGCAGGGGAGGACGGAGGTGGATGACACGGTCGAGCCGCACATATGCTCTCCATGTTACACCCCCTAGTCTACACACCAGAATTGCAACCAACAACAGCAACAATGGGGGGTGGGGTGGCAGGGCACCCAGTGTACGCGATGTCTGCTGGCCACCGAGTCTGCCATCGCACATCTGAAAATGTTAGCATTTCTTACGGTGCGCATTCTGATTGCCTAATTTACAGAGAAACGTCTCCAGTACTACGACATGGATATCCCTGTATCTGCTTTGCTAGAACTCTTTGAGCTTTGTCTAGGAACGGACTTTTCATTTGCGCAGGAATACTATCAGCGTCTGAAAGGAGCCCCATGGGATCACAAATCTCTGGTTTTCTCGCAGAAGTCACGATGCAGACATAAGAGGAATACATGGAATGCACGGAATACATGTGGCGCACAAACCGACGACTACACTTTGTAACCAGCTTGTTCACCCTAAGGATAGGGTTGGCTATTTAGACAAGAAGGAAGTCGTATATAAGATACCATCCAACACCTGCAATGCGGTTTACTATGATCAAACGGGAAAATCGGCCTCCACACGAATACACGAACATCAGTTGGCCGAAAAAGGCGAGACAACTTGTCCCACGTTGTCATGCATACGTTGGAAACTGGACACAAAGTCGCCTGGGACAGAACTCGCATTGTAGGTGTCTCCTCATCTAAAAGGGGCCGTGAATTTTTAGAGGTCATTCATTCTGATCACTCATGCATTAACCGGTACGTAAAATTGGATGCTGTGTACAACAACCTCAAGGAAATGTGGAAAATGCGATGGTCGATCAGATCATTACCTATACAGCAGTGACAGGACGAAGAGCGTTTTCAGGCAGGCCTAAACGCTAACTATTTTACACACTTCACGTCTGAGGATGACTTGGTGAACCGACGTCAAAAAGTTACAATCAAATTTTTTATCTTTCCTAAAGAACTTAATTCTTCCGAAGTATATTTATGTTTACGCCAAGCAATTCTCGGTGGGATAATACAAACTACGCTCATGCAAGTTTGTAGTGGTTAGGCGGTGATGGTGTATGCTCAGTGCCCCACAACTTTAGGCCAGATCCTAAGTTGTAAGAAGTAGGATTCCACTTGGAGAAAAAACGGCTTTTTTATTCTGTACAGAATAGTAAGTGGAAGTTGGCAACCGGACGATTATGCGTCCGCGAGAGCGACGAGCCGTGTGTCGTTGATGGTTGCCGCTACAAAAGTGTCGTGACAGACTGTTTACGCATTGGTCTGGACTGCGTCCGCCTTGTGTAACCAATCAGCGAGGGGAGTTACGTTGATTGTCTCAAACCCAGACGAGACAGGCAGAGAATCGTTCGGATTAGTGGCGCAGACAGTGAATTGCATCGAGATAAATCTAAGCGGGGCAGGCGTGCGTGCGTGCTAAAGCAGGCTGTCGCTGGGCGTAGGTACAGGCGCTAGGGGAGATGCGATGTCATTATGGCTGCCCATAAGTTTATTACTGAGTTTTGCAATACTAAAGCCAAAAGCTTTGGAAACAGACTTTCATAGTGTGAATTCACCCCTTTTTTCTCGAGAACATTGTGATTTCTCATACCCACTCTCGCTTTATTTTCATAAGGGCAAAATCAAATTTTCGGTTCCCGGAAGGGATTTATTTTATACTTTTGCAGTTTAAATGAATTCTTTTTTTCGAGACGGTGCACAAAAACATGAAGTTTTGATCCGTGAATTTTAGTCGCGTAGAAAATTACCTGCATATCAAGAGAGGTCAGATTTTGTCCAAATCTGGTCTGTTTTCCTTTAGAAAGGCCGAATTGAAATGAATGTATTGTTTGTAGTATTTAGATTTTCTCGATTCAGTATTCGTTTATTCACCGGACTAGACGAACCCGAGGTCAAAGCTGTCGGAATTCTCTCGGGATAACTCGGTTCTTCTTTGTGGTTCTATGGAAATAAACAGTAAGATTGGCTGAACACGATAGACTTAATAAGGCGGGGAATAGATTGAAAAGTGGACCTACATTCAAGGTGATTAGATGAGCAGTCAGCGATTGACGCCAAAGTGTGGTGGTCGGTTTAAAAGCGAGCGGCGACAAAGAGCAATAGACAATGGACAAAGAACAATGAACGAAGAATGATGAGAACCGATGAATAGGGGTACAGAAACAAAGGCATGGTGGTATGAGCAAAGTCTGGTTACTAACAAACAGTTAGTAGCAAAAAGCAGAAGATTTAAAAGTGACATCGGGGCTGTCACACCCCGCGGTCTTCTATGGCCTGAATGCGTCACGGAGATTCCATTTGATCCACTTCTCCTTCCAGTGGAAAATATTGGCGGATGTCGCCCCGTACATGACCCTTCGCTGTGCGAGTTGTTACTCCGCGAATTAAATTGTCCGATCCTTCGTGTACTTCTTCGATTATTGCCTTAGGCCAGACACCTCGGGGTTTGTCTGCCTCCATTAGCAGAACATGTTGACCAATCCTGGGACTCGGTTGCGCAGATTGCCACTTCCGACTAACTGCGTTTGTTGGTAGGTAGACTCTTAACCACCTCTTCCAAAAGGTGTCCGCTAGGAGTTGTGCCTGTCGCCTTCTTCAATTTAATCAATTAATCGGAATCGCACGTGATATTGGTTTGGACGAATTATTTCTTAGTAGTAGCAACTTACTCGGTGTAAGTACATACTGATCATGCGGGTCGTCAGTCTTTCTTAGTAACGGCCTGTCGTTTAGAATTCGTTCAATTTCAGTTATGGCAGTATGTAGAACTTAATCAGTGAGGCGTTGTTCTTCTAGCACCGCAAGGATAATTTGTTTGATTGTGCGAATCATTCTTCCCCATACACCACCTCAGTGGCTGTCTCTGGGGGGGGGGGGGGTTGAATATCCAGTCACACTCATGAATCAGCGGGGATTTCGCTATTTTGTCCTGGTTCCACACTTTAAGCAGCTTTTTTTACGTCACCTTCCGCATCCTTAAAATTGCTTCCGTTGTCACTGTATAGTCGCTGTGGACAACCTCTACTTGCTGCAAATCGATTGAAAGCACACATAAACGAATTAGTGTCCAAAGATTGCGCTAATTCCAGATGCACATCTCGAAAATTGGGGCAGATAAACAGACAACCATATCGCTTTTCGACGGAACGTCCCCGTTTAACGAACATCGGACCGAAATAATCAACTCTTGAAATCTTGAAGGGGTCGCAAGATTGTACAGTCCGATCTAGGGGGATCGGAGCCATAGCCTGTTGGTAGGGTTGAGAAAACAATATCCGGCACTTGAGACATCTTTTCAACGAAGACTTTATCGTTTTGTTGGCCCGCATTATCCAGTATCGCGTCCTTATTGTAGATAGAATGTAGCTTTGTCCCATACGATCGTTCAGATCGTGATATTGTTGGATTATTAGATGTGTCTCAAAGTGTTGGGACGGCCGAATGACAAATTTTTTAGTCTCGAGCGGTAGACAACTGCTCGGTAGTCGTCCCCCGACGCGTAACACTGCATCCACGACGATTAGTGTGAGGCATCTCAACGAACTAGACACTTTGCGAAGAGATTTCCTTTTGGCACCTGCACCGTCTAAGCGCATAATCAAAGGTATTGTTGTTCCCTATGAGCTTCATCTCATAGAGAAACGTTTCTAATTGCACCATCCTAACAATTTCTGAAGACGCGTTCCTCATCTCTGCTAATGCCAGTATGCTCTTTGTGGTTGCGTAGGATTCCTCAAATATATTTTATAACGCAGAATCCAGGCTACGCTTCTTCGAAGTTTGTACTTCGAGGCTAAATGACTATAGCAAGCAATCATTGCGGCAGTTTTCCGAAGTAAGCACAGACGTCCTGAGTCGGAACCGCGGTTTGTCATTACGCAAGCATGTTCTATGACCCGGAGTGATTGTATATTAGTATCACCGGATTTTTAGGACAATACTTCTGATGTTCTTGCTTATTTGTTTCGTTCGCAATGACACCACGGGATAGCAGGTGGGCGGGATTCCGGCGGGATTCGATGTGTAGCCATTCGTCTGGGCTAAAGAGATAATGTATAAGCGACAAGCGATTGAGCTGGAAGGTGGGAAAAGGTTTCTAAGTGTTGCGAATGCTTCGGAGCACCACTAGATAGTATGTGTAGCAGAAAGTTGTTGCAATCTTCACGCTCATTTCTGTGCGGATCAACCTGGCTATCTTAACGGCTACAAAAGCTGCCATTAGATTCAGGCGTGGTGTACTAGTCACGCAAATAGGGGCGATTCTGACCTAAGGCAATATTAATCGAGATAGAGTTGTTTCGCTTTTGCCCCCGCGACCATGTAGGCGACTGCGCCATAAGCGGTTTCCGAGGCGTCACTAAAGACAGGGAGTTGAAAATCATAACTTGGTTTCGCCTCCTCTGGTCTGATGCATAGAGGTACGGTGAAGTGTTCGAGGCCAGGCATTGCATTTAATCACTTTCTCCATAATGTCCACTCTCCACCGCACATCTCTTCCTCCCAAACTACTTTGTGCTTGCATAAATTTTTAGGACATTTTTTACGAGTATCCTCACTTGGGTAATGTATCCCATCGGATCAAAGAAAAACAAAACATATGGAAGTATGGTTCTTCGCCCTGATGTATTGCATTTGCAGCGGCTTCAGCCCATTTGGATCTTAAATGGGAGGGAAGTCGTCTCACAATCGGCTCCAGAGTTCTGCTGGAATTGAGATCGCATGCATAGTTAAGTTGGTTTAAGGTTGCCACGCAAACTTGCCCTTATTGGCTGAGGTGAACCAACGCTGCGGTGTCGTTGCCTTTTATTTGAGGTCCATCGATTAAGCTTCATTAAAGGCTCGGGATACTATATAATTTTGGCCGAATCATTTTCTCAAAATATCTTTGGCTTTTTTAAAACCTTCGTCGGCATCTGATATCACACAATGTTGTATAGCCTCCTTCGCTTTCCACTCACAGTACTGTATCATGTAAGTGAGGCTTGTGATGCTGTCATTAGTTTTCTTTTCAATTACAGAATGGAACTCTTTCACGAAAGCACAATAAAATTTAGGGTTCCCGTCAAACTTCTGAATTTCACGTTCTGGCAGCTCTAGATGATAGTCAGTGATGCGAACTGGAGGTTCGACATTATCATCCGAACTACCATCTCTCTGTTGAGCGATCGCACAAATCTCGTTATCTTTATTCAATTCTTGACCTTCCATTTTCATAAGCTGTAATTTTTCCAACTCAATGCGTGTTTCGATTTCTAGTAGAGGCAGTTTGCTGAGGTCTTTTTCAAGTCGCGGCCGTTCTAAATCTCTTTGATTTTAGGTGATTGATGAAGCAGGTCGTGAGTGCAGCGACAGATCCGGAGGGCTGTTATCTGCGATTTACTCGGGCATGACTCGAATAACTTTGTTAGGATTCTTTAGATTTCCGATTCAGTGCTGGTTCATTCACCGGAATAGATGCAGCCGAGGTCAAAGCTATGTCAGAAGACAGTCATGATAACTCGGATATTTTTTGTGGTTCTATAGCAGTAAACAGTAAGATTGGCGGAGCACGATAGAGTTAATAAAGCGAGGAATGAATTGAAAAGTGGACATACGTTCGAGTTGATTAGATGAGTAGTCAGCGATTGACGCCAAAGTGTGGTGGTCGGTTTAAAAGCGAGCGGCGACAAAGAGCAATAGACAACGAACAAACAACAATGAACGAAGAATGACGAGAACCGACGAATAGGGGGACATAAGCAAAAGCAGAGTGGTATCGGCAAAGACTGCTTACTAAAAACGGTTAGAAGCAAAAACGGAAAAGAATGCAAATTCACATTAGGGATGTCACATCTTCTAAACAAAATGGTTTTCTGCGTCTTAAACCAACTCTTAAACCAACTGAAAAAAATAACACCATAAGTATGATATACTTCTCACCCAACTTTCGATCCCGACATTCCACGAGTTGGGACACATACTGTGGTAATAGACAGACCCCTTGTAATTAGTCTCACTTTTTGACTCTTCTGCCCATCTCTCATAGCACAAAAGCGCCTCATTAAACAAAGTTGCCTCTGGAAGCCCATCACGGGGCCGATCTCCGAAGCAGTCATAAAAGTGTGCCGAGCTTTCTCGCCTACAGTGGTGTAATCGACGCATGTGGCGGTTAAGCTCCGTGCAATTTAATTATGGTGAGATGAAATGAGAGGCACTTCAGTGTTCTGCACGTTCATGTATCCTTCTGTAATTGAATTTGCGATGGTCTGATGCAATATCTCTAGGGAAATTCACTCAGTGCTGAGAATCACTAGAGAACTGTTAAATTATATTATGCGTCTCCTGAATAGACGATGTTGTTTTCAGCAGGAATCACGCAGCTCCACTGACCTGGCTTCATGTGCAGCCACGTCGCAGCCTGCAACGGCACACCAGGGTGGAGCATGTCATGTGTGCCAGAGCTTGCGTTGCTGCGCATGTACTTTTCTCACTCCCTAGATGACGCCCAGATCGAGATCGAATGACAGGGGCGTGATTTGAGCAGGTAAGCCGTAGGCTGACATCTTCTAGGCTCTCAGTCGCACAAAGCCATCTTTGTTCGCAAATAGAGATTACGAGCTTTGTGGCGTGATCGTGTAAATGGTGAAACATGTGGAGACATCCACAAAAGTCACTGATAACAGGTTGAAGACGCTACAGTAATATTTTGCCTGCAGACTGTTTGTGCAGCTCAAGATGATGCGTGTGATCAAAATAATCCTGGTTTTATTGTTAGAGTAAGCTTCTTAATCTCCAAATTCCGATTGATTAACACTGCTACTACTGCTAATACGACCACTGATACTACTGCTCCCATTACTTCTACATCTGCCACTACCATTATTATTATTATTATTGCTACTACTACTTCTACTACTATTACTGCTACTGCTATCACAGTATCTCAAAGGTCATGAGGTATTACACGAATTTCCTTATAGTGTTAATTCCGCCCAAACTGCGTACGCAGTCTTACAGCAGTGTAAGTACGACCTTTCTTAATAAGATGCTTAGTTAAGTTTTTCAAATTAACATTCACTAGCATAATATTAATTAATTGTCGCTGAAAACCAAAATTTTAGAAAATGGCTATATTATTAGTCGTTTATAACGGGCTAACTATGAGTGTGCATAAGGCAACAATTAAAATTAATAGAAATTTCAAAATTCCAGTATTTTGTTGATCGTTGTTTTGCATGGAACGCAGCAGAATGCCTTTTAGACACACAGCTGGCCAGGCTGCCTATAGCGGAATGTTGATTGTGATTATCTAGCCAAAATCAATCTTTTCTCGCATTGGGATTTTCTCATTTGCATTGTGGCGATTTTTTTGACAATGTCGCAGAGATTTTCGATAGTAGTTTGTTCCGGACTGTTGGTAGGATAAAAATCTACCAAAGATAGTCAAGCCCAAGTTGAAAGCTAACTGGTCTGGATCACAGGAGATATATCGCGATACGGTAAGATGTTGTGAACTTCTGAAGATAGTACGTCTGATATAGCATGTTTCTAATTTATCTGGTCTTTGTAACAAACGCTGAGAGGGTCTTATTGCTAATTAGCCAGATCTGAGCGAATACACCTCAGTCTGCCAGGGATATCTGCCTGCCCTGTTCGTCTGCATGAACAGGTGATCGTCACAAACTAACGACTGTAGTGCACACCGAAGATCAACCTCACATAACTGCCAGCGAGTCTGCAGACTGTCTATACACACTGAACCGAAAACTAATGCCTACTCCCGCCCCCACGATTTCCTCGTTGTTGGCAGGGCACACGTCAGCCTGGTTGGTATTCCAAATTTGGCAGTGAAACCTCCTAGCCAGCTATGGCCTGACCAATGGCGAAGTCGGCTCTACCTTTTTCGTATTAATTCGTCCCCCTTCTGTGCCATCTATCAACCAATGAAATCCGCTCTGTGCTACCCTCGGCCAATCAGATCCTGAAGGTCGTCTGTGCGTGCGGGCGTACGTAGAATGTTAGGGGAGAAATAAAAGGGCAGCCCTCACGGCCCTGAAGGCATTCCGTCGATTTCGCTCTGGTTACAACACCAAATGGCGCTCCCACGTGCAGAAGTATTCGAAGACGAATTTCCCCTGATCCGAAGCTGTCCAGCCTTGAACGAAATCCGTCTTGCGCAGGAAATTAAGGATTTGAGAATAGAGGTAGCCTCAATTACCGCGAATATTCATGTTTGCTTGCGTGTTAGGTAAAGGACAGGGCAGAGCTCCACGCTAATCGCATTATACTGGCGGCTCGCATTCCGTCCTTGCGAGCCCCTCTCAGTGGCCCCCTCGGAGAGACAAATTCCGTTCTACGATGGCCGACCATGCCACTGAGGTAAAATCGTCGTCTATTTGGTGATTTTGCTTACTGCTTCTGCACTTTCTAGCCTCGCAACTACGTTCTTGCAGTACGTCTACACGGGCCGAGTGGAGCTGAGAGAAGACAATGCGAGAGGCCTGGTGACGCTTGCGAGAATGCTCGAGTTGCCTCACCTGGTGGACTGGGGAGTGGCATTCATGGCCAGAGGGTGCGCGCATTTCCTGTCTAACTGTCTGTTCTGCAGGCTCACTTTAGAAAATCTGTCCGACATATTGGACTTTGCGAGGTCGCTGAATGTTGGACCACTGAGGGAGAAGTGCATCGGACTGATGAGGGCGCAGTTTGAGGACTTTGTGCCAACCGACCTCTTTGTTCGCCTACCTGCCCAAACTCTACTTACCGTGCTTCAAAGTGAAGATTTGTCTGTTTCGTCTGAAGAGCACGTTATTGAGGCCATTGCACGGTGGGTGGATGCAGGTGCGTGCCTGGCGGATGATGACGAGAGGCTGCAAGTACATGCTCCGGCAATGCTAAAGGAGGTTCAGTGGCACCAGACGACCGTGGAATGTCGCGATCATCTGCTGGATAGTCATCCGACATTTGGCAAGAGTTATGAATGTCTGTAAGTACATGGCATTGCAGCCTTGTTATTTTTCTCTCTAAAAGTCGGCTTTTGTTTCAGATCTTGAATTGGATTGGTGCCTCAGACAAGGAGAAGCGGCCCTGTCCCTTCAACATTAGGCCTCGTGTTCGCCAGACATTCTTTGGCGCAGACAGAGATCAGATGATCTTCCTCTTTGGAGAGGACAGGCAGGGAAGGTGGTCTGTCCTGCGTTGGAATCCGCGTCTGCAGCAGACAGAACGCGTCGTTGACATGGCAGCTGGCCGGCCGGGCGCCTCCTACAGTGCGGTGGGTGGTGAGTTGCCGGACAGTTGTTTGACTGAAGTCTCCTGCCTCTGGGTGCAGGCCTGTCAGCACATTTTGCTGCCTACGGGGTGCATTTAGGGCTCGTTGCTTTTTGCTTTTTAAAGAATGCAAGCCCTTTTTAAGCTGGCTGCTTTATGCATTCCTCTCTTTTTTTCCGCCACCAAACGGAAGAGAGCATTTTCGTTGTTGGAGGAGGATCGGGTGACGCTAGGCGGCGTGTTGATGAGTTTCTGGTGAGAGAAGGGCGCTGGCGCGAGCGGGCGCCCCTCGCCGTTGGACGCGCGTGGCACGCAGCCGCCGTCGTGAAGGTTCCCACCGCTGCCGCCGCCGCCGCCGCCGCCGCCGCCGACGGAGAGGAGACGCTGATTGGCGTTTTCGGTGGATCGACGAATGGGATTTTCGTGGTGCCTATTTCCTCCTGTGAGGTCTATGACGTGAGGCAGGACAGGTGAGTGTTGACGCACATTTATTAAAGTTTTTTTTCGCCAAAAAGAAAGATTTCTCTCGTCTTCTCCTCACTCGCCTGTTTGCCCGAACAGATGGCACGCACTGCCCGATCTGCCGGAGGCGAGGTACGGCCCAGCTGCTGCCTGTCTGCCCGGCGACAGTCGGGTCTTCCTTTTTGGCGGTCGGGATGAACGCCGCACCGTGCTTGCCTCTGTGGTCTTCTGCCATCTGCGAGCAGACTGGCGTCGGCGGCAGGAGACGACCTCAGCGGACTTTTGGCAGTCGGCTGCCCCCATGAGAACTGCGCGATACCAGCACGCAGCGACGGCCTTTCGGGGAGCAATTCTGGTCGCCGGTGGATGGGATGGCCGAGATCTCAACACTGTGGAGATGTTTACGCCGCCAGACGCCAGCAGCCCCCTCGGCCAGTGGACAGAACTGGCCCACATGCAGAGGCCTCGCTACGACTTCACTCTTCTCACCTCCGCCAATGCCGTCTTCGCTCTCGGCGGTAATGCAACACACCATTAAATGCATTCCTTCTCCTTTTCTCCTTTTTTCTTCTAAATGCGCACTCTGCACCAGCACTGTGTGTTTGTGTGTGCCTTGAGGCTGAATGGAGCGACCTCACTGGCGGTGTTATTATTATGGTGTCCGGGAAATTTACCTTTATATGGAGTTTTTTTTTCTGTTTAGTAAACAGTTTTGAATGCATGAAAATTCCTCATATCCCACCACAGTGTCTTTTAAAATCTCGGCTATAAAATGACTCCACTGTAAGCCAGTAAAATAGGTTGCCTTTGCATGAATTATAAGAAAGAAGCCATAGAATATCAAACAACTCATGCAGCGCTGGCAAAAACTCTATGTACAATATCCCATATGACTTATTCGTCTTCCTTAGGTAGAGGACTGAAGACGGGGAAATAATTTTTACACAATTCACAATTAAAAGCATTCTTTCTCTCTTTAATGCCATGCATTGGCTCAGCATGCGACACCTTCGTTAATCTGACATGTTTTTTTCTCTAAATGGCCACTCTGCAGCATTTCTGTGAATACTGCCTCCTCCTCTTTGTTTCCTTCTCTCTCTGTCGTGGAATTTTCTTTTTCGTAACCGACATTCATTAAAATTATCTTAAATTTGTAGGCACATTGGGCAAACCAGGCAACACGGTGGAGGCCTTCGCTGCCCCAGGAGGTTCAGCCGACCCCGACAATGACTTGACCGCTTGGGTCTGGTCCTCCAAGAACCCAGTGGAATCGCTCAGCGAGATTCACGGAGCAGCAAACATTCGCATGTAAACATCAGCCACTTTCCTGATTTTTTAAAAAGAAATAAACAGCGTGCAAGTAAATCTGCGTTGCAGTTCTTACTTTAAAAGATGTGCGGTGCTCACAGGTGGGTCGACCACTTTAGAACGAGGTATGTTTTCCCGGTAAATGAAATGACTTCTTACGACACTGTGGACTGCGTGGGGTAGTTACTATTTGACGGACAGATATTCATCCGTCGATGTAATGAGCGGCTTTGGTGAAGTCACAAATCCATCGGTGCGGGGTTTAGTACAATCGCCAAGTTATAGGAACTACTCGTACTTTCCGAATTAGAAGCATGTAGGGAAGCCGATTTTCTTGGACACAGAGATCTTCACCAAGTGGTTTCAAGTATGAAAACAGGATTGCCAGTACGAGAACTATGTTCGTCAAAGGTGTCGGTTACATGCAGCATCCGAAAACGCAGACGGCAGCAGTTTGAGGCTGGGGATGTATATGAGTACGTACTTTGCATTTACTAAGTGACCGCATTGGCCGTAAAAGCGTCATCAATTCCTAATCATGTTCGAACTCACCCGGAATTGCCCAGCAAAGCCCGAAAGTAAACGAAGCAAAGATCTGCATAAAAAGGGACGCAAGTGAGTTGGTTGCTGTTGATTTGCACATTTAAAGCCAGTCGTCGTGGGTGTAACAGATTTGACATTTCACCAGAAAATGGCCCCGCAAGTGTAACTGGACAAGGGAAAACTTGTAGCTTCCCACTCTCACGATCGTCAACACAACCGTTTGCCTCGTCGTTTTCGGTACGCACGCCACGAGTGACTCCGCCTTCGGCTTGCGACACCGTGATGTCCATCGATGTTTTTTTGTCACCGATTAGCAACAGATGGACGAATTTAGGGAGGATGAGATTTGACTGGTATTTTACGCGTTGATAGTGCTAGCTGTAACTACCTGCGATGCTGCCTGCACACTGGATGAGTCAGTGGTCGTCTTCACCCTGATCTTGAATGTTTCCAAGAGAGTTTAACGCGGGGCAACCAAAGTCGTCTACCAAAGGCCTATCATTTACTTTTTGCATGACTTCATAAAAATGTCTGTTGGACACACTTCTCGATATTGTGAGAAGAACTAACCTACTGGGTGCACTCGTCCCCAAAGAAGAGAGCGACTTTCAGCTGTTAATTCGAAATGGTCTTGCGAACCGGAGTGTATTTGATGACACAGTAACAACATCATCACCAGGTAATAATGGACTTGGCAGAGCTAGAAAAATATGCTGCAACATGCTTCCTTCATATCATCGCCTATCGGCTGTTGCCAACTCTGCTGATTACTCCTACGGGGAAAGGACTTCCAGTTTCACACAAATGATATCAGAGGATATTTTGGGAAACGGACGTTCAAATATTACCAGGTTAGTCGGAGGGTTGCAGCCCAAGCTATGATTAGCCAAATGGCACTAACTGCGTGTGAAAGCTACACGGCTGCATATGCCGCCTGAGCATGCCTGACGCACATCCCAGTGGCGTGGAGGCCCACACATCAGGCGAGGTAAAATCGATCGATCACTTGATTAACGCGCCGCGCAACATCGATCGCAATACCTGCGTGCTTAATGCGATTAGATTCGCACCTGGACTGCCTCGAGAGAATGTCGTCAAACTGAGCCGATTGCGGCGGCGTGCACTCTCGATGCGCATTCGGAATCTAGACAA